TTTCTAAACGTAACCTTACATTTTGGCGGTTTGTTAATTATTTTACCAATTATGAATACACCAAAAGAAAAATCTAATCTTTCTTTCTCGTATGCCCAAATACGGTTTCAACATAATAAAAAATGGTAAAGTTATCGATTTTTGAATAGGAAGATTCAAATCCAAAAATTTTTAAAAAGCTCTAAATATTTCGAAAACGGTTAAACTTAGGTATAGAGAAGGCTAATGAAAACTCTCTCAAAATCACTTGAGTAATCCAAAAACATAATAAAAAACATAACTTTCTTTCTCTCTAGTTGATATCCACTACCGGTATAACAGGAAGTGCTGCCATCTTGAAAATATTTTCATTAAGCAGAACCTAACTGACTATGGCTATAAACAAAATTTTAGATAAATATCGTTGTTAGAACTCCCAATGGTGTTTATCAGGAACAGCCTGTATAGGATTCGTAAAAGTTGTGCAGTCTCTTATAAATTTTTTTGATTCATTAGTGGTGTTCTTTATTTGTTTGCCCAATTCAAAAAAATCTTTTTTTGTGTTTTCAATTCAAAAAACACCTTTGGCAGGTCGTTTGAGTTGTATCTTTTGTACGATTGTGGCACATGATATGGCCGGCAGCTGTTTCGATTGTTCAGCAAGTCACTCCCTCATTAAACGTCTGTATATTTTTCTAATTGGGTCATTTTCTCCGGTGCAGCGTTTTGCATTTGGCTTCAGAGTGAATCAGCAGAGCCCCTTGTTCTATTTCGGTCGTCATGAGTGGGCACGACCCTTTCCGTACGTTTTAATGGCGAAATGTTTATACCAGCGCTTCCAGAAATAAACCCGTTCCATCCACACTCTTTTTCGCCTTGTCAATAAATTTCATTTGTCCGTTTGTAACAATTATTAATATCCCAGCGGCGTTTCAGTTCCATCACCCATCGATTATGGTTATTGAAAAATGAAAATTAAACGTATTCTTTCTTTCGTTTTGAACGTCAGTTATTGATAGTCAGCTGTAAATGTGAAGGTTCTGTGAAGATGAATTGTAAATCAAAGGTGAGAATGAAAACCAATTTGGAACAAGACGACCATTACGCACCGATGCGGTTCATCAGCGATGATTATTCACCAACGGACAGCCATTGTGAACGATCGCAGGTGATACAATCGATAAAAGGAGAGTACGAGATACCAGAGGCCTTATTCATAAACATATCACACGAAGCCCAAAAAGCCTTCTCGTATTTAAGCTGCTATTAATATGGTAATGGAAGTGACCGTCAGGATGGAAATTGTCCAAAAACCAATCAACAAAACACAATCAATTTTTGATTAGGTATTTGTGTGTTGGTGTGAGGAAATGGACTGAAAAAATTGTTGATCGTGATTGAATATTACCGTTTTTGCACATTCATTGTTTCAATTTGTCTTTCGAAATTCTTTCCTTATTTTTTATCCAAGTGTTCTGAAATAGTCGTATCTGATTTTCCTTAAGTAATTTTAATCTTTTCTTCGCAAAACAAAAAAATCTAAAGAAAGAAAATAAACTTTTAAAAAGAATCCAAAGAAACGTCTACAAAAGAAGAAAGAAGAAAAGTCTGTAGGTATAGAAAAAATCAAAACCTAAAAAAGTATTACAAGTAGGTTTCATAAAAAAATTAAAACTAGAAAAGAATCTAAGAAAGAGTCTAGAATATAATCATAGAAAACAATTTAAAGAAGGATCTAGGTTAGAATCTAGAAGAGAATCTAAAAA